CTGTTAGGTTTATAATCAGTGAACATATCTGCTATGTATTTAGGTCCTAGGCCATTGAATGATTTATAAACGAGTAAAAGTACCTTAAAATCAATCCCAAATGTAACTGGAAGCCAGTGTAACGACCTGAGGACTGGTGTGATATGCTCAGATTTTCTGGTTCTAGTCAGAATTCTGGCAGCAGCGTTCTGGATGAGCTGCAGCTGTCTAATGGTCTTCTTGGGAAGGCCGGTGAGGAGACCATTACAATAGTCTACCCTGCTGGTAATAAAGGCATGAACAAGTTTCTCCAAGTCTTGACAGGAAACAAAACATCTAATTCTTGCAATGTTTTTGAGATGATAGTATGCTGATTTAGTTACTGCTTTGACATGACTACTGAAACTAAGGTCTGTCTCCAGAATCACACCAATAATCTTGACTTGATTTTTAGTTCTAGAAGTATGTTATGATCGACAGTGTCAAACGCAGCACTAAGATCTAGTTGTACCAGCACTGATATTTTGCCAGAATCAGAATGTAAACGAATACTATTTATTATCTTAATGAGCGCTGTCTCTGTGCTGTGATGCGGTAGGAAACCAGATTGAAAATTGTCCAGGTATCCATTTGAGTTTAAGTATTTGTTCAGCTGATGAAAAACTGCCTTTTCAATAATCTTGCCTATAAAAGGAAGATTTGATATTGGTCTATAATTGCTCAAAATGGTGTTATCAATACCAGTAAGCAATTGGCTTTCTATATACACTTTTGGGTATAAGTTCGGGTCCAGTGAATTATTTATTTATTTATTTGTTTGAATAAAAAATTAGCACTTTTCTTCCACAAAAAATTGATCAAAATGTAATGAAGACTTTTACATTGCTGCAGAAGAATCCTATTTAAAAAAGTATCATGGTTTCCACAAAAATATATTAATTTTCAACATTGATAATAATAAGAAATGTTTTTTTGAGCAGCAAATCAGCATATTATAATCATTTCTGAAGGATCATGTGACATTGAAGACTGGTGTAAAAGCTGCTGAAAATTCAGTTTTGCATCACAAGAATAAATTATATTTTAAAATATATTAAAATAAAAACAGTTATTTTAAATAGTACTAATATTTGTATTTTTAATCAAATAAATGCATTCCTGGTAAACATAGAGACTTAAAAAACACAAAAAAAATTGACCAATCCCAAACTTTTGAACGGTAGTGTACATTTCTAATAGACAACATGTAGTAAAGTATATAGTATTGAACAATACAGTATGGTGTGTTATTTTGGTAAGAAAGACCATTTTTAAAACTATGAGAATTATGACTTTTACTATTGATTACCCTTTCAAAAAAATCATTGTCTTGTTCCTTCACCGTGGCATTAGCAGAGTAGCTTTGCAGTGTGTGGCTGTCTGCACAGCGGTAGTGATGGGAACAGGTTGAAGTCTGCTTTGAACCCTTCCTCCTTGCAGGTCGATGCTGCGTCTTAGAGTGACACTTAAACAAAGCCTGCCAGTTAAGGAGCACCCTTCCTGATTGGAGAGGTGATGGCTCTCCATTTATATCAGGATACACCACGGGGCTCCAATCGCTCGGCTGCCTTTTGTGTGGAAGCCGAAGGTATCGATCCCGATAAACCTATTATAGACTCTGTCTGTAGGGGATGTCAGCTAACGGGCCGCCACCCAATACACAGAGCGAAAAGTTTTAATTAACCGCAATTGAAAGAGTCAATTGGGGGAAAAAAGCGAGAAAAGGACAGACAAAGAAACGTTTTTGAATGCAAAGACATCGTGGATGGGAGCTGATCTTGTGCTTCCAAAGATCTGTAGCATCAAAATCTTAGCAGGTCTGGCTGCAGTGAGCGCACGGCTCCATGCTTGTGGTTTTTATAAATGGCTGCGGGGCTGGAATTGACTTGTAATTAGGGTGGCGTGGAGTTGGTGAGGAATTATTAAACACTCCAGGCTCTAATGAGTTGATGAAAGTAAAAACACGGAGCATTGACCTTTTCTGTGGAATGTTTATGCATTCTCATTATGTTTTCTGCAGCAAATCAGAGGCGGTGGCAAAGTCTGTTGACAATGGGCCCTCGCTGGGCAGGGGGGCGGTAATTAAATCAGAACTGTTTGCATGAGCAGTCAGAGCAAATGAGTCACGGCGTGCACCTCTCACGCGTGTTCGCACGCAAATGCGGATGCCGGTGAGTTCGCTTTCAAGTGCTCTCAGACATTCTGAGTGAGGCAGCCTGACTGTTTTTGACACTGTTTCATCAGGCACAAACCCTGAAGGTTAATTAATTCACTGGTTAGGTTTAGATGCGTCTGAGAGAATCTAAATATTTATGGGCTTTGTTTTCATTCAAGCTGAACCACAGGACTGTGTAGTGCTTATGTATTCTAGTGCGGTGCTTATGTATTTCCGAGATTACACAGCTGTTATATTACATTATTCAACATCAGCATCATTTTAAGCATTCTGATTTATACATAGGCCTAGATCTTAGTACTCACCAAATGATCGGATTTATGGACGATAAAATGGGTGAAAAATACCATAAATTTACACTTTAGGAGGGAGCATAGACACATCTCTCTTGGGCAACCAGCATTGTAGCAGCAAGTTTCGCACTATTCACCACACCACCAATGTTCCCTCTAAGGAGCTCGCGGCTGCACACTTCTTCCACATGCTCGGGCAAACCGCTATAGAGTTGATGTCGCTATAGAGTTAGAACCGGTCAATGTGGTTATCAGGTTCCATAGAAAGAGAATGATGTGCGCCAAAAGAGTCGGGGCCCTATCATACATCTGGCGCAATGCGGCGCCAGGCGCGATGCAAGTGTTTTTTGTTAGTTTCAGGCCGACGCAGTTGTCATTTTCATGTCCTGAGCCACGTTGTTTAAATATCAAAATGCATTTGCGCCCATTTGTGCACTCATGGGCGTGCTGGTCTGAAAACGAGGTGTGTTCAGGCGCATTGCTGGCACGTTACTATTTTGAGGCAACTGAAATAGACTGCGCCATTGATCAACTAAAACCTGGTCTAAAG